GTTTGGGGAGAACGCAATGGAATCTCAGCACTCACCAAAGGCAGTTGTTATACGTAGTAAGTTTGCATGCCATCATTTTCCAACAAAAATACCAATGGTGAAATGTACAGGCAGAATGTGGTGAGGAAGAGGCAACGTAAGGAGATACAAGGGATTTGGATGGATTTGGCACTTTTGTGAGCCACCCCATATTCTGCAGCTTCAATGAACGGTGTGCTCAATCAGAACCTCAGGTGCCATAAAAAGGCCCTCTCCCGCTGTTCGCCCTGTTTCAGCGCCTTTCACTGGGTTTTCCAGGATTTGCAGTGCTTTTCACAGCCAAATTCTGACGCCTGCCTCGATGGCTGCTTTCCTGCTCCAGGTGACAATCGCGCCGAATACTTGCGCCGCATTGTAGAAGCTGGGTGCCTGGAAGTTGGTCTATCCGTCTTTATGAAAGAGCCAGCAATCCAAATTTGAGGCCCTTGGAAGGTCTCAAAAGGAGACACGTTCCCTTTAGCATGGTGATGGACAGGTCTCCGTGAAAATTCCAACCTTTGCTGAAGGTCTCACTTGTGGAAGCAGTCGCTCCGCAACTGAATGCATTCCGAGCAGCTTGTGCCCTAGCGTCCACATCAAAAGTCGCTCACAGTTTGCACATCATTGCCAATCATTGCCTCCTAAGAGGCCTTGGCACCGAACTGAGGCCTTCGAAGAGCTTTTGCCCCTTGAAACTTGCCGGATTTGGTCCGAGCAGGCGCCGCTCCGAACCGTCGAAGTCAAGAGCCCAAAAGTCTATCACTGTAATCCCGGAAAGAAACGCAGGCATCCGGCATCCACTTCTGCCTTTAGAAGCAGATTTGACATGATTTGCAACTCATGACTTCCAGGGATTGAAGAAGATAATGAGAAGAAGTCGGCCTCAGCTGACAGGAGCTCGCCTACATCATTGTGGGCGCTTCTGTGCAAGAGGATGCATTCTGGAACATGGAGCATCTCTCATCCAAGATCAAGGCACGAAGACCTGGCGATGTGACTGTCAGCCAAGAGGCTCCGTGTGACGTTAAAATGGACTACCTAGTATCCTAGTCCCCAAGCAAAGCCTCCGGCTGAAAGACTCGGAACCCTTGCTGAATCCACTGGAGAGACGGACTGTGCCCTTTGCGAGGCTCAACATGGCTACACCTCGGAGTCCAGGTGGAACGATGAAAACGATGGGCATCTGGCCATCCAAGCCATCGAAGCAGATCGGGTAACGAGTCAATTTCAAAAAGAACTGTTTTGTGAAGGCATGACTCAATACAATCAGCTTCCTGCATGCTGGTGACCAGGTGTTTCAAAGACTTGTTGACCTTCCTCTCTGAGCTCTCCCCGGAGAACAGGCGGAGGGTCCGGG